CAGTCTATAGATATAGACTTAGCCACAGTTGTTACACTGTACGAATCTTTAGAAAAATATGTGGAAGACTTTAGAGAAAGATTTGATGTGTACTTAGAACAAGCAAAAACGATGTGTTCAAAACAATTATTTTCCTGGGATGGCGTGAGACAAAAAAAGAGAAAGAAGTTTTTTGATGAAACTGAAAGTAACGATGAATTATTGGAAGGAGAACAAAAAATGAAATGTGAAGTATTCTATGTTATTATTGACAGGCTAGTTGTGAATTTACGTGAAAGAAAACTGTCCTACACTGATATAAATAATAATTTTGGATTTATATTAAAATTAGATACATTGGATACTAACGGAATACGTGAAAAAGCTAAAAATCTAGTGAAAATATATCCTGAAGATTTAAACGAGACATTCATAGAAGAACTGGTACAATTTAAAAATATTCTTAATTTGTTTTCAAAAGAAGATAAATCATCTTTTATAAGTCTTTTAAAATGCCTCACAAATTCTGCCCTTTTGACAACATTTCCAAATGTAGGTAGAAATAGTATTGCGAATATTTTGTTGTATGGCTTCATCCAATGCAAGTGGAGAACGGTCATTTTCTGTATTAAAAAGAATAAAAAATTATCTAAGGTCTGCTTTAGTTGATGAAAAGATGTCATCATTATCCATATTAAATATAGAAAGCGATATTTTACAACAGATTGATTGGTCGGACATAATACATAAATTTGCAGTTTTGAAATCAAGAAAAAAATTAATATAAGTTGAATAAAAATGTATTTTAATTTACTATTTTTAATTTTTAATTATAATTCTAATTAATTGTATTATGAATATTTAATAAATAATATGTTTAAAAAGAAAAATTAAGTATAAATTAAGTATATATAGGTTACTAAGTACTTACTAGGTAACTCTTTAATATTTTAAAACTAACGGAGAAACGTATTAAAATATAATTCTGCTGTGTTTATGATAGCGAAAAAAGAGAGGTGAAAATCATATGATATTTTTTTTAAATATATAGAGGCGGCAAATTTTATATTGCCCCGGGGCGGCAATTTGGCTTAATGCGGCACTGAAGATCGGTAGAACCACACAGGTACATGCCGAATTCACTTCTAAAGCTACTATTGTATTTGTATACCTAAATAGTTATGGGTTCGTTCGATATTTAGTCTTATCGGATAAATCGACAATTAATTATATCAATTTTTCAATATCAATGGACTGGAGTAGGTAATTGTCTAAAGGCACTAATTGGGATTACCTTTACAGTAAATTAAAAAAGCTTAAAATAAACAAAAATTAGTTTAAATACACAAAATGAATGTAATATTACGTAAAAATGACCTTACAAAAGCAATAAAATGCAAAATTAAAATTAAATATTTTAAATTGTTATAGTACGAAACAAATTTAGTTTTTGGTTAGAATTGTATAACACTTAGAAAAAAAAAATGCAAGTCAACAAAATCCTAGCTCTACTTATAATATTATTTTGGCCGCTGAATAATAGCAGTCAACAATCATAATATAGGCATTCATAGTATTGTATATTATGAAATCAATGATTTATTGTTCATCAATTCATCATTAAGACATGTATTATATTACATTATCGTTGACGAAAAATAACAATGAGTTATAAACTAACGAATTCAAATATATAAATAAATAGCAAAACAAGTTTTTTGCTAGAGCCATAGCACGAATCTTATTTCAAAAAGTTTAAATAAAAACTACTATACTACATATTTAAAATGCTTGTAGTCATAATGCTACAGACCTTAGAAATTAGAAGAAAAATTAAGTTCCATTAGATGTAATATTTATTTAATAAGTATCTACAATGAAGAAACCGGGACCGCAATTTAAGGCATTTGAAGCATGGGGATCACTTATTAATAGTAACCCAAATTTTTAAGAAGTTGGTTTTGTTTTGGGGCATTAAGATTTGACTAATTATTAGGTTTTTTTGGTATTGTAAGAGATTGCGTCAACTATACATTGACCACCTTATACGTCTAATGTCTATGTTATTAAATGTTGATATAAATGGTTTGCTACTTCACTGTCAAATTGGGCAACATATTCCTAAATACGTTAGTGTCTACTTATTTATACATATATTATGCATAGTATAATCCTACCCAATCAAAAATCCTGCTTACGTAGCAGTTAGTTTCTCTTGTTCGTCATCATCTTAGAGAAAATTGGGCATTCATGTTTTAATCTAAATTGAATCATTAACAAATACTGTATAGTTTGTAATTTGTGTAATCGATTATCAATAAAATAAGAAATATTATGTTATTATGACATAAAACCAAATACATACATTCAGAAAACTAAAAATATTAACACACAGTATTAAAATTATATTGGAATTGATGTCAACTTAAATACGCTTCATCCATTTTTTTAAACTTGTCTAATAAATCTTCAGGTACTTCTAAGTCATGGAAATTATCTGTGCCTATTTCATCTTCAGTCCTGGAAAAAAGCCAATTTAGCAAGTCAATATGAGTCAATTTTAGTTTTTATTTTGATTTATGAAAGATAAAATTAATCTTCTTAAACATACAGATAATATACCAAAAGGTGAGAAGAACTAATGTGGTGATTGGATAAATTGGCTAACACAATACAACTATGGAAGGGAAACTATATTTTGAAATGTTAAAGCATTGAAAACATTTATGGTTATATCAGTAACGAGCTGTTCTTACGATTGGTCATTTTCCAAACTCAGTATTGTGAAAATCAAGTTCAGCAGTACCATGACACAGAATTTATTGATGATCTGCTTACTATGTCCAGTAAGCAAGAACTTGCAAATAGTATAAAAATTGATGATGTAATTGATACATTTAAAAACCTTACTCCCGTGGATAGTAGGATGGAATTGTAAGTTACATTGATTTTTTATAAGTATTATTATGCTATTTCAAACTATTATTATTATTTATTTTTATTATTATTATGTATTTTAATACCTTCAAATAGTATTTATTTTTATAATTGCATATTGAATTAAATAAATACTTTATAAAATTAATAACTAAATATTTAATTATACCAGTAGTCATTAGTACAAGAATCTTTGGTTCAGACTTTCTTAAGGGATCCTCCTGCGAACCAAGTCTGCGCACGCCTATGACTCAATTCAAAATAAGAATGGTAGACGCAGAGCTTTGGAACAAAGTCACGTCGCTGTGCACAAGTATAGCCACAGACTTCCATTCTTATTTTGGTAAAGTATAATATATAATACATAATATAAGACATGGCATATTATGATGGTTAAATGTATAAGTAGTTGCCCGTAAGAATTAAGAGAACAAACAATTAAAAATTATATACTGACTTGATTAAAATGTCCACTAGATTTTCACATACTAATTTCAATTCCATATTGGGTTCCCATCTGTGAAGTTCCCTTAAAATAAGATAAGTTCCTTGATCTCTGATTATTTCTCTGCATTTTCTTTTAGCACTCAACTTTAAACATAATAAATTACATCAATAATCAGTTTAATATTTTCTTATCACTTTACATTTGTTTATATAACAGCTAACCTGAGTCAAAGCTTGTAACAGTGCCAACCGTAAATCTGAATCTGGTTCACGTTCTTTATCATCAGGTAGATATTGTAAATCCAATGGTAGTTTTTCATTATCTTCTTCATCAAACTGCTCAGGGCCAGCTAGTGGTAAAAGAAGGCGAGGTAACAAATCTAAATCCTCGCTTAATAACCATTCATGCTTTTCTAAACAAATACAAAATAAAAGACTAGTATTGAATAAGACAGTTTTGTAACTTTAGATAAGAAGTTACCTAGTTCAAAGCAACAGTTTTTTATAGTCATGATGACACCAGCTCTTCGAAGTGAATTGTTTAAATTTAAAAATGGAAATAATTTTTGTAAATTATCATTATTCATTAACCACCTACAAAGAAATTGAGGAAAACTATAATTTGAATATTTACATTTATTTAACATCAAATAACTACTTACATTCTTACTTCATGTAACTGACATAAATTTGATAATAAATATGAAATATAATCATAATTTGTTTCATGTTGTACATCTCGGGTGATGAACAGCTTCATAAACGATTCTAATGTTGTGGTTTGATCTCCAAATGCTTCATACACTTGAATGGCATGATTTTTTTCACGCGTCAGGTTGCACAACAGCTTCAATACTGAACTAGCAATCTCTGGTGTTTGTTGATCAATATATTGTGTTATTTTTGATATGATTCCCTAACAATACATTCAAATTAAAAACTACTGACATAAGTTCCCTTTTAAGCCAAAATCTACCGAGCCATTTGAACCAATGTTACTGTTTAAAAATAACATTATTTTTTTCAGACCATTTTCTTTAGACGAAATATTGACCAAACACAAACAGGCTGTATTGGCATTGGCTCTGTCGGTTTCCAAAACTTTGAAAAGTCCTCTAAGCAATTCGTCAATATTATCCACGATTACTTTGTTTTCTTTATATTTGTCAGCCGTCAGAGCTAGAAGAGAGACCCATTAAAACTCTTAAAACAGTTTTTATCAAGAAACAGAAATAAAACCACACATACATAGTAGATGTTGTAGTACGTCACTTTTTAATTTGGGGTCGCCACCATCCACCACCAATGAGTGGACCATAACGATTAATAAATGATGTGGTATCTCCGAATCCATGACTGATGGTGTTTTAAAAAATAGAATAATATATTATCCTTTGTCGGTGTCAAATCGAAACACAATACAGGTGCACCGGCAAGAAACTGACAGTTAAGACTTATGATGGTTAGGCATTAAAATAATAATCGTCTATGTAAAATTAACCAACGGAAGTTAAAAATAACCGAACGGAAACCTGTTGGCTGTAGGTACTTTCCTAAAATATATATAATAATAATAAGCAGTAAGCAACGAACCACCACAACGAACTTGCACTTTTATAGTTCGCTGTAATCTGTAAGCCGTGCCGCCGTGGTGGTGTAATTTAATTTTATGATAACATTACACGTGCTCGTTATCAGCGCTCACTAATTATTCCATGAGACATCGTGGGCGCGATTCGTTTCCATAATATTATATTTTTTATTCTTATCGGACGCGTAGAAGATAACCGCTATCGATCGATTGGTTTTAGTGTTCAACAGCAATAACTACATTTCACAATTGAAAGTTCAAACCATCCAACGTTGTTAGTTGTTACTTGTTACTCAACTCTAGTCTTATACTCTCGTCTCACTTGTGAACTGCACAATAATATCTTAAGATGGAAAATATGTTTAGTACGTCCGGAGAAAAAGAGACTGATGAAGTGAGTTAAAACATTTTATGCATACCTATTACCTACCGTAATTATATCCGTCCATCGTTTTTTGTTTTATGTTTGTTGTCGACTGTTGTGTCATTCACTCGACCGAGTTACCTACATATTATTGAATATTATTATTTTTATATTTCCCACGCCTGTCTACGATATTTTATTAATGAATATTAATTTTAATATCAGTGTTTGAATTGTCTTTGTAAATGGTTTACCAAGGTTTTCGTAAAATTGTTATTTGAATGGTCGTTGCGACTTGTGTCTTGTCTTGAAAATCTTGAAATCGTTATTGAGCGTTTTTCAAGATACAAAAACTCTCAAACGAGAAAACATAAAATAAATAATAGGTATGCATTTCCCTTTGCTTTTCTTTAAACTTTTTTTATGCACTATTTGTATTGAACAACTTGTGAATGCGATTATATCGCACAAATTTGTTTATTGAAATACTCATTCAGCGGAGAAACTGCATTATGTATATATTATATTTTTAAAACCTGTTTATATTACTATTAATATATGCTTATAAAATAAATTCGTAGTATTTTTTAAAAATATTTGAACAACTTTTGTTTTACCTAAATACATCTGTTGAATTTGTTGTATAATATTTTTTCTTTAGATATTCTTATAAATAATAAAATGTTCAGTAGGTATACTAGGTGTACACGAATTTTCGCATAAATAAAATATTAATATTTCACGTAGAAATTAAAAATGTTTCATAGCCAATAGGTATTTATTTGTATTTGATTATGAATAAAATTATTATGTGGGTTTTGTTTAAAAGTATGTTACAATGTACTGGGATGTTTACCTTGAAAAATTGAGTTTAGGTATGTAAGATATCTGGCATTAAAAACGGTTGCATAACAACGTTTACTCTTCCTAACTTCTTCGACGACAACATTAAATACCTATACGTACCCTACATATAGTATTGAGACATTGCCACATGTAAAATTAAACACGAAATTATGATGAACTGTAATGTATATAATATACCTAATATACTGATAAAACAAAATTGTTGTGGTTTCAGTGTCCGTACTCGGCACGAAATCGATAAAGTAATAATTGTTTAATCAAATGTTAAAATGTATTTAAATCATTCAAAAATTTTTAAAATGAGATACGGTTTACACCAGATAACTGTTAGCTTTATTGATTAATAGTTATATAATACTTACATATTTAGCAGTGGCGGATAGCAGTACTAAGTTTGATTCTGTACAGTGTTCAGTGTGCGCTGTATTTTCATTATTATTACTGTCCTGTAAGTTTAAAACATTAACAAAATATTCCTCAGCTAATATTACAATTTTTTTTTAAAAATAATATTGATGGGTATTGTTATAAAATGTTCGGAAAGCTTTTGCTGCTGATAGTCATTTTTCCTTTCCATATTGCGAACAGAACTAGAAGATAAGAATAAAAATGTGTCTTTTACTAACAAAGTTTCCCGGAAATATTTTCGCATCCGCGAAGGTGGACTAGGTGGTTTTTAGCTTATAACATTTTAATGACATACTTGAAAATTCTAAAAAGTAATTTGCAATGTAATTGAAAAACGTTCCACACATTTTTGAATCGATAAAATAATCCCGGGGTCCTTCTTCGTGGGTCGTTGTCATATGGGTGCATTTTCAAACATTTCCGCAAACCATGCCAGGATCTCAACAAATTTACCTTAACATTATAACGATTGGCAATTAAATATATTAGTTTCCAATCAAAATTCAAAATTATATATTTGAAGTCTATTGTGTGAAAATTGTATTTCGTTATATACTTACTTATTTTTTTTATAGTAGAAAAGTAGATAAAAAATTCTTAAAATACGTTATAGGACAATATTATAATAATATATTGATTCAATGATTCTTTTACTCGTTATAAAATTGTACATTTCGAAAAAATAAATTTTGTTTCTGTGAAATTAAAATTCAGTGAAGGTTGGCAGATTTTCATTCGTACAAAACATATTTTACCCACACTAGTCATATGGTGAATTTAAGATTCGCTTAAATTTGCTGCCCCCCTACTTCGACTATAGGTTAATAAATTAGACCATTTTTGGGAAATGACGAAAATCCAATTTTATAATATATAGACTCATAAGTCGTAAATCATAACTAGGATTAGGATGCTTATGATCTTTAAAACTAATGTATTAGACAAATATATGTGTAAAAAATGTCTAATTATGTTTTGAAACTTTAAAACAATCAAATATATTATAAAATGCATTAAAAATTGTATTGTTAATTTATTCAATCAAAATATACTAAACCTATGGGTAATGGGTGTTGGCGTATGTGTGTACAAGCATTTTTTAAAACCTCAGTACCTACGCGATAACTCGAATAATACAATAACATAGATATGTTTAAAAATGTCCTACAGTGTTAAAAATAATAGTTGAAACCAAAAATATGCAAAATAAAATTCATACCATTGGACTAAATAGATTTATAATTGAGTCTGCAATGTGCACGACTAAATGAAAAAAAAATTTAGTCGGTCCTTAGTAGACTTGATTATAAATTAAAATCTGTTTTTAGAATACTTATCGCTTCTCTTGATTAATCGGTACTTTGGAATGAAAACATGTCTAGGAAGTTTTGAATCTGTTCGACAAAGACAGAAAATCACGGCTTCCGATCATCTTTTTTTAAAAATTTTTACTTGTGTATCACTATACACCTATATATTATTATCATTATCTTAATTATTATAATTTTTATGAAAAATGAGAAAAAATTATACAAATAATTAAATTATAGGATAAATGCGTTCCTTATCCTTAAAAAATATGTTGATATTAATTTGTTATTAAGTACAAGGTAATAATATTTATTATACCATAATATATTATATATTAGTGGCTACTTATAATATATTGTTAAGGGGATTCGATACCGTCATTTTCTGTTTTTGTCTTACACACGCGTGACATAGTAATTTAGATGTGTTTTTTGCCAATTATACCAATTGATCTAATGAAGCGATAAGAATTCTAAAAACAGATTTTAATTTGTCTTCAAGTCTACTTGAAATCGACTTTCCCACATTTATGATTTTTTGATTTTAACTTCTCCGAAAATTGAAATACAAAAATGTTTAAATGCTCTTTTTTAATATGACATTTTTAGGAATTTGGGGGATAATATCAAAAATGTGGGAAAGTCGATTTTAAGAAGACTTAACGACAAATTCAAATATGTTTTCAGATTTATTATCGCTTCATTAGATCAATTAGTATGTTTGGCAAAAAACACGTCTAAATTACCATGTCACGCGTGTGTTAGACAAAAACAGAAAATGACGGTATCGAATTCCCTTAAGTATTAATTAACACGTTTTTCCTTATATCTGTGCGATGTAGGTAGAATATGTAAGTAGGTAGGATGGTACCTAAAATATTATATAAAAATATTCATACGACATACCTAAATAATTGCTTATAATGATATAATAAATTTAATACATCATTATTATATTATTATCTCTAATACAATATTATAAATAGGGTTTATTGCTGATAGCTAATTTTCCGTTTTGATCGAGGTATATGATTTAGTTTTAATTGTTACATAATTATATTCAGAAATCAGACCATAATATAGGTAATTTAGAAAAAAATTATTGCAAGTCTGCAACTACCTATACTACAATTTTAATTTATATTGTCTGTAGATAATATATTATTAAGGATAATTTGTTTAAAATAATTAAAGTTTTAGTTAATAAATTAAATAGCTTCTTTATTTTAATGTAAGTAGGCATATATTATATTTATATTAATTCAATAAATTGAATTTGTATATCAACCTATAATATTGTAATCTTAGGATTTCCGTTAACCTTAACTATAGTTAAAATGAAACTATTATTTCATTAAATCAACGAAGTTGGATATTAATTTGAATACATATATGCAAACATTTTATCGGAAATCGAAGTACTTAAGATTATTTACTTATTTAATGCAATTAAATTGATTAAATTATTTCTTTTTAATCAATTTCAGGTGAATCTATTGTAGTTAATTATAATAGCAAATAGTTTTAATGAAATTCATAATTAATTGAAGCTAACTTGAATATAAAGAAATGAATGTATTAATGAACATTTTGATTTTAAGAAATGTTTTATTCTGAGTGTCAGTATTCCTATTTACCCATATAAACTTGAGACTAGAGTGTTGGCTTTATATTATGTTAATAAACACAAATTACTCCACAACTAAATTAAACAATTTAAAAGGGATTATTCATATAAACCCGCGGTAACATGTTACGTGTGTATTACATAAAAAAAATCAATAAATGGGGTCAAATTTACGTAAATAAAGTATCATAGTTTTTTCTTTCTAAAATCAAGATATCTTAACGTTTATAAAACAATAAAACAAAAAAAAAATTGCCTATAATACTATGCAAGAGTACAATTATTATAGAATATAATATACTTAATAGTCATTTTACAGATTAATATAATTAGAGCAAATCCATTTTTGTGTTAAAACGCTACTTATGCCTCTATGTACCTACCATTAATAACCATTAATTAAAGACGGATTTACGATTCCTACTTAAACGTTCTATACCCTTATGGCTGTATAATTACGATACGTTTGACTTATTCTTAGTTTTTACCATAAAAAGGTCAATTTAATTCGAAGCTAAATTCACTTCGTTTTCTATCGCGCTTTGTATTCTTTCGAATTCAATATTTTAATGTTATTGGCCTAGCGCTCTCCAAGCAGTACGAAACGGACGGTTTTTTTGGGTAACCCAACAATTGGAGTGGCCATGCTGTAGATTATGGCAGTTTTTTTTCATTGCATTAGTGTAGAATGTCTGAATGTTATGTGATCCACCACGTTTTCATACGTGGTAAAAAATGTCGACAAGCCCTGGTTTTGCCGGAATAATAAACTAATAGCTCCAACTTCTAATAATTGCACTGTTGGGATGAGCTTATAAATAATAATACAGGCGACAGAAATCGTCGCGTTAAATGTTAAAACCATAATTTTATATAATTGTGTATAATTTACTCGGTTGAATATACGTTGACAGAAATTGTTTACCCTCTGTACCTATTATAGCTGGTAAGGCGTACAAAAAAAACTGCGTACAAAAAGCGAAGGAAAACCCTATAGGCTAAAACAAGTCCTGTGGGCCGACACTAGCCGTTTCACGATTGATTTTCAATGTTCCTCTAACGATGTTAATAATTTATGGAAATTAAAAAACATAGGTAAACCTATAACATATGTATGAATTGCATATAATATATTACAATTAGTATTACACATCACACCATCATTAGGTATTGAAAAACTGGTAACCAAGTTGAATATGTACATCAAATTATAATACATTAATGTATTCGTATTTAAAAAAAAAATTATTGTTGTTTTGATATATTTGTATAGACATACTTTAGAATAGTTTAATTGATTACAGCAACTGTGTATAGTGTATGCGTAATAATATAGCCTTATGATAAATTATTTTAAATGTTTTATAATATGTCAACTCTGATTTAATGTGTCTTTTTTTTAGAAACTCTTGCAGCCTTTCACATATATTATGCAAGTGCCTGGTAAACAAATCAGAGCTAAACTCGCTCATGCATTTAATTATTGGTTGAAAATACCATCAGACAAATTGGCTGTTATTGGAGACATAGTGCAGATGTTGCATAATTCTAGTCTCTTGTAAGTATACACTTAGTATAGAGTAGAAAAAGTTTAACTGCAATTAAAAATAATTTGAATACATATGGATGAATTCTCTGTTGTGTAATATTTGAGTTTATTAGCTATCTAAAAACCAAAATTAAGGCTAATGTGTGTATCGTATGTATTATTACATAATTTTAAGTTAGAATATGTATATTAGTAATATGTTATTTTAAATTGTAATCATTAAAATTTAAAAATATGAATTAAATAAGTTAATTTAAGTTCTAAAGTTGTATACTGTAGTTGTTTAAAACAGTGAAAATCAAAGTTCCTTCTACCTTCTACTAAATTAAAGTGTATTTATGTATATTGGTATAATCAATCATTAAACTTGTAATGACTAAATATTAATCTATACACTGTTGAACAAATGTATCTTACATAAGAATATTTGAAAATAATTATTACTTATTACAATATTACCTACTTATTTATTATTATTTATTATGTTCTTACATACAATTTAAAGTAAATCATGATTTTTATAGGTATAAAGAAATATTTAGATAACCTAAAATGTTATATAACTTGTTTATTCAACTTGATATATTGTACCTGTATGACTTCGTATTATATTGTTTCAATATCATAAATCAATGTAACTAATTAATTGTCAGCCAAAGAAAATAATATAATCTTATTTTTTTTTTTGTATAATTATGTTTATTAATGTATCATTACATAACACAATACATATCAAGAGAAAATTTACTGTAATGCTATAAAAGTATATATTTTAAATAATATCTAAATGTTATACGTATTATCATTTATTATTAATTTTGATTTACTAACTATTATAATCATTGATCATATAATCAATGCTATAACTGAAAAATTTAAAATAGATACCCAATTAGTTCTGGCAATTGTTTATTCAATTCTTTGCCGATTCATTGAGAAATCATTAAAAAAGTTTACATCAAAGTTAATCTTATTAAATATATAGTTTGTTTTATTTTGTTTATTAATTTTCTGAGTTTCAAGTTGATGAAATACTTATAAACATTCAATATTATTAATAATTTATGATAATTATTAAAATAATTACTCAACAAAATTAATATTTATTTATGTTTGGTATTTTAGAACTGATGATATTCAAGATAATTCAGTCTTGAGACGTGGGATACCTGTGGCACATTCAATCTATGGTGTTGCTAGTACAATCAATGCTGCAAACTACATGTCATTTGTTGCATTAGAACGAACTCTGAGCCTAGGACATCCTATGGTACATATTGCTTTTATTGTTTTTTTAATAAATGCTTTAGCATTGATGAAAATGTCTAATAAGTCATAAATATATTTTTAGGCTACCACTGTATACACTGAACAGGTGTTAGAACTTCACCGAGGTCAAGGAATGGAAATTTATTGGCGAGATAATTATACATGTCCAACTGAAGATGAATACAAAAAAATGACAATCAGAAGTAATTAAATTGTATATTAATTATTTTATATGTGTTGGTTTTTTGGTAAACATCATTTTTAATCAATATTGAAAGTCAACTTTAGATATTTAAAAATAAGTTATGCAGAAAATATATTCTTAACACTATGGGTACCTATAAAAATATATTCTTATAATTTTGTATATTTAATTTTTAAGAGACTGGCGGTTTATTTATGCTTGCTATCAGACTCATGCAGTTATTCAGTGACAGTACTAATGACTTCACTAAACTTACTGGAATATTGGGATTGTACTTCCAGATTCGAGATGATTATTGTAACTTGTGTTTGCAAGAAGTAAGAAGTATTGCATGTTTATTTTAATGAGTTAATCTGATTTATTGATTAAATTTATTTTGTATTATATATAATTTAATAATATTTGACCAAAAAATGGCGATATTGACTGATCAGGTAAAGAATCAGGCGTAGTCATTAATTATAATATCCAAATTCTTATTATGAGGACTCTATATTCTGATTCATATTGGTATCTATGTCTGATGAACTCAAAATATAGGTTGCATATTAATTATCTATTCAGTGTAATAATTTTTAATTTTAGATTATAATATTAAATTCATAATTGTTATCACAGATTTTATAGGTACTATACTAGATTAGGAACTCTGAATAAAACGAATACAAAATAATTATAGCTCGTGCGCCATGTTTTGGGTTGGACAATATAGAATAATATTATATGCATCATACTTGTTAAATATCCATATCAATTTGACAACTGAGAAAAGAGTGAGATAAGTTTCATTAGCTGACACAAATTTCTTATTTAGTATAGTATAAATGAGAGAAGTCTGTGATTTTAAATGGTATTATATTATTGAAAATCAAATTCTTATCTGTTTTATATTATTCTATTTATGACAGTCAAACTATTAATCAGAAATAAAATAATTTTCTTTTATCGTTTATTATATCATAATTAAACTTTATAAAATTATTTTGTAGTATTAAATCTAATATTAAAAGATTAAAACATGTATAGTGATTATTCCGATCATTAATTTTTTATGCTCGACAGAAATAAAAATTAGTTTTCAACTTTTTCTTTAAGTTCAAAGTTCTTACAAACAAACAACTTAAGGTAAATGTGTTTTCAGAGTGTTTAAATAAAAATAAGAAACATAGTGCCATGGCTTATTAAAACTTAAATTTGGAATATTATTTATAGAGCAAATTATACAAATATTTAAATATCATTCTCATTGCTTAAAAAATGTATTAAATAATCAAGACTTTATTTTACTTTAGTATTCTGAAAACAAGAGCTATTGTGAAGATTTAACAGAAGGAAAATTCAGTTTCCCTATTATACATGCAATTCATACTCACCCTGAAGACAAACAAGTGATTCGTATCCTTTATATATAATTAAGACTAATTATAACATTTTCTTTAAATATTTCATAATCCTGTCTAAGTGTTAAGTATTTTTTAAACTTAACATGAAATACCAAAATTATTATGATTGTAATGTTTTACTTAACCCATAAAACTATTAGATATTTTGAGACAGCGAACAAGAAATGTTGACGTGAAAAAGTACTGTGTGAAGTTGTTGGATAATTATGGTTCATTTGAGCACACAAGAAAGGTGTTGACACAATTAGATGCAGATGCTCGCAAGGAAGTGGAACATCTTGGTGGTAATCCATTGATGATTAAAATATTAGACGGACTTAGAACCTGGTCGTATAATTTTGATGAAAAGACAAACAATTAAATGTTTTATTTTAATGTTTTAATTTCAATTTCCACCATGACCACACTGTTGAAAAGTAGTTTTGTTTATGTGAACTGTCATGTTTTTAGTTTTGTATTAAATATTTTGTTTTACCAAAATATGTAATGGGGACCCTTTTTTTGTATCTTTACTTTAATCATGAGTAGAGTTTATTATAATAGCAGTGTTGCTGTACTCTGTCAACCAAATACTATTAATTAATTAAAATCCTATTGGCCTTATCATTAATCTTGAAAAAGTTCTTAATATTTTTTTTTTAAATTGTAATATTGTTATGTGGCAATCAATGACTGTAAACGAAAAAAATAGGCCTTAATAAAATACATTTTGGCCAGTTTAATATCTAAGTACTTAAATGTAAAATATTGCCAAAGTCTCAAAGCATTTTAGCAGAGTATAATAATAATATAGTCTTCCAATTTAATATAATATATATTTAAAAAAATGTGAACATTGTATTTTTTGTACTTTAATGCTATTATTTGATATTTATTATTATTAATTTTTCACTTTTTTAATCCATCATTAAATTTCTTTTCTTTTATATTATTTTGCTTACCTAATCTTATGAAAACAATCTGCTCATGGCTGTTTTTTTTTAAACGCCTCTGCTAGTTAGTATCTAAGATTTACCAATTGTTTCTAATTTTAAGTACTTATAAACATATGTATGAAAATAATGAATAGCGATATATATTATTAGTGAGATATTAATTTATAGTTAACATTATATTATATGTGTAAATGTTGTATACGTATAATGTTTATTAAAAATTAGTTACAGAAAATAAATGTCACTCGATTATAACTGATTTATGTGCTGTTACTTGTAACCAATGGTTATTAATCTAAACAACCTTTGCTTATGCTGTATAAACATTTATATTTGGATGGGCTCAATTCCATGGCCAAATAATTGATTTGTTGCACCTATTCATTATTATTGATGTAATAATACTGTATATTAATATATCGAGATTAACTTTACCTGAAAAGTTGAGAAAAATTATAAGAGAAATGAAACTGCGGAGGTAATTGTTGTTTATTTTTTAGGAAGTATTCACTAATGAATTAATATATCCTGTGTGTTTAACAAAATCTATAAGTATGTATAAATAAGTCATGCATGCTTGAAACAAACATTTTTTGCAACGTACCCTTTTGTGACACATCACACATAAATATGCGGTTGCAGGATAACAATTTGTTAATAAAAGTTATCGAGTTCTTTAGTTTTCTTGTTTGAAAAACAGCCGTTTTGTTGAATGTCACCCGTGGATTTTTAAAACTCCAATTACTCACGACAAAATGTATTTGTTTTATTTTATTTGTATCTAAGTTTATGTTATTTAGCCATGTTATTCCCTATCTACATTCTACATATATAGTCACCAAGATCCGAGGACCGAGAGTGGCCGAGTGCAACTTATTGCATGATATCCTGAAATCTTACAGTTTACCGAAAGAATAAACCTGTCCGATATATATATTTTTAATTTAAATTTTATGCAGGTAACAGATAAAATGGAAAACATTTTGCCATTTTAGTCGAAAACTGTGCAACAGATTAGGTACTGTAGCTGGTTAAATTTGATTTATACGAAGTTATGCTTATTATGTATTACATAGCCTCGAAAATAATCATAATATAGAAACATCACATCTCGCTTTTCAATTATCTAAGACAGTAAGACTCATCGGCCATAGCCCATAGCTAGTTTCAATTTATACAGCATTATATTATGTCATAGAAAAACCGTTTGCATTTACACTGAATACACTGCCATTATGTAATGCATTACAAAAAGTAAATTGTGATTTATCTGAATGTTGTGAAAATGTTGAAAATTGTATACAAGTTCTATCTTCTTTTTTTTTTTTAAAGTTTAAAGGCTTCAACTACTATGGTTATAAGCCAACATTTTTTTTTTAAAGAAAGTAAGAGAAGTAAAAGGTACAATATTTGTTTAAGAATACGAAGAAAAATTATTTCGGTATATTTACAATTGAATAATGATTTTGAAAGTGGATTCTTCGTTGAGGGCTTCTTTGATGTTGAGTGGGAGGTTGAGAAGTGTGTGGATTGGCTCGTGTATTGGGCATTCTTCAAAAATATGTCTTATGGTGATACGAGTTTGGCATGTGTTGCAATAGGGGGTTGGTCTTTGCTGATAAGAAAGGTGTGACCGATTCTAATACGGGTAATGGCAAGTCTTGTCTTCGGCTGAGGTTCGGGGGAGTATACCATTGTTTAACTGAACTTTTGATGTTCTTTAGTTTGTTAGGTCTAATTTATGTGAATACGTCATTGGAAGATATTTTATCGATGGTGTTGTCGAGTATATTTTTACTAGCTAAGAAGGCTGCTTCGTCGGCCAATTCGTTTCCTTTTATGCCTAAAAGGGAGAGTTACCCACATAAAGTCGATGTTTTTTTGGGTGTTAATTAGTTTCAATTGAGTTGTTTGGGTGATTTCAATTTTGGGCCAAGGGTTTTTTAGAGCTGTAAGGACGCCAAGGGAATGACTTATAATCAAAAAGTTATTCGTAGGAAGTGAGTTTGCTAGTTTGATTGCTTTAAGAATTGCGAAGTTATCAGCGGTAAATATGTTTGTAATTTATGGGAGCTTGTGTTGAATGATTGTTTGGTTGTGCACAATTGAGAATCCTACTCCATGACCGAATTTTGAGGCATCAGTGTAGATTTGAGAGTGGGTAGAGAATCTATTTTGAATAATATAATAAAAATAGGATATTATTATTTTGTGATTAGTTTCTTGTTTGTTGAGCGAGAGTAATTCTGTTGAGGGCTTTAGGTTCCATAGCCGCGGAGGAGTTTTTGGGAAGATGGTTTTATCTTCGATCGAGGTATGAATATTCATTTGAATGCATAAATTGAAATAGATGTACTGTATTGTAGCGAGTTTTTTTGTGACGTTGCGGTTGATGATTTATTTTTTATTTTTGAAAAGAGCTGTGTGGCCTGTGGTCAGGAGAGTAGTTTTCCTTTGTATGCAGTATAGGAGCGTGTTTTTGTCTCTTATGAATTGGAGAGGCATTTCTCCCGCATAGCATTGAATGCTTTCTGTTGGGATTGCTCTGAAGGCTCCTACGGAAAGACGTTTTATCTTCTATTCGTATAAACGCCGATGAAGAATTTCAAACATGGTTTTTAGAAGTCGAAGAAAAATTGAATACATTGGACGAAACTATTCAAATAGGTACCTCAAATAACTGGGCGTCAATTGTCTTGTAATAATACGTCAGCTGAATCGTATGAACAGTATTGTAAACGAACAATATGTATATCAATTATCATTTATTGATTATTTTAAGAATCAATTAATAGAAGGATTTTCTAAACACAATACAATTATTTCTGTATTACAAAAGTTTATTCCAAATCCCTTCAACAAATTTAAACCTATAGTTATAATGATTTTGAAAAATGTATAGACTTATCAACATGTATTACTCAGTTACTATACATTTGAATCAGAATTAAAAATATGGATGGAAAAATGGAAAAAAGTTCCCTAGAACGAGTATCCAAAGTCCGCTATTGGTACTTTCAATAAAGTATCCGTTAATTTTTTCCAAATATATGGTGCTTGATGTCAATATTAGTAACTTTACCGGTATCAACAGAATAATCGGAAAGATCATGTTCATGTTTCTAAAAACATTGAAGTCGTATTTGAGAAATAGTACAAGTGAAAATCGACTTCAGAACTAACCCTCATGTCAATTTAGAATAGACACTGCAGAAGAAGTGATTAATACATTTGCAAATCTACCTCAAAAATTGGATTTTTGCTTTAATTTTATTTATATAATAACCGGGTTTTTATAATTTATTATTGAAATAAAGTTAATTTATAATAATAATTTAATATATTTTTTTTATTACCCCGTTTCCCTCAAATTAATTCCTATGTATGCCCCTGAGTATAAGTCTGTATTTATGAAGGTAAGTATGTATAACATTAATATGTATGAAAATATGGTTTGGTAATTGGTATAGTATTATGTATAATGTATATATATCTACTATACATATAGATTAAGTATAATAATATAATATCTATATTTATTTTTATGTACATTTTATTGGCAATTGGCAGTTTGTCATGCCTACTGTACTATAATTCATTCCATAATAATGTACCTATTAAAAAAAATAACTTTAAGAGGGTATTCAAGAAAATGAATACAAGTATACAACATAATAATATTATAAGAATTATTTTAGTTATATATAAAGATTATAAATTATATTATGACGATGGTGCTATAAATTGTGGGTTAGGTTTTATACTTTAATATTATAGTGTAGTGTACGACGCATGTGTGCCTTGTTGCAGTGGCGACTGGCGAGGGGCCGAACCATTTTCAAATACGGAGCGTCGAGACTAGACTACTATAAATATATTTATTTTTACCCATACCCACCCACCCACACGCGACCCACCGTTGTATGCAAGTGTTCTCTCATCTTACCTACTGATATGGTCTTGAAAATAACTAATATAATATTTACAAAGAAAACTAACAGTGATGTAAGTTTAAAGGTACCGGTATAGTACGCCTATTATCTATCTACTGAATGATGTGAATTATTTGTGGTAATCTATAAAAGCTAATTTTGGAATAAATTAGACTTTATTTGTAACGTGCAATGTTTGCCTTAATAATTGTTCTTGCTAATACAAACAACCACTCAAAAATCATTTTCCATAAAATAGGATAAAAATCATTTAATATTTTCCTAAAAACTTTTTTTTCATAATGCATTGTAGGTACACGTCTTGTAATAATATTGTTTTTAATATATTATAATGTATGAACTTAAAACAAAAATTGGTAGTTAGTAGTTGCTTAGCTATAATTCTTATTTAAATCTAAAAGTCTATGCGTGATTCTCTGATAGATTGAGTAACAGTATCAAACATTGATATACTCTAGCCAAATTTGTTGGTTACTATTTTGGAAATCTGCAATATTGATTAACTATAAAATACATTGGCACAATGATCGTTATATTTTAATAGCGCAGACAAAACTCACTATAGGTAGATTAATAAAAATAGAAAGAATACTAGAAAATAATATAAAATACCTACTAATTGTTATTAGGTTGTAAATAATCCTTTAACTTTAAGTTATGGTGTGGGGGCTGGAGTCTTAAAAATGTTTTATAGCAAAATAAACCTATGTCCCCTATGGTACCTATAGGGACATAATTGCCCACAATTTTCATTGTTAAGAAATTCTGGGGGGGGGGCTGAAGCCCACCCAAGCCCCGCTCCCTAGTTACGCCTATGTAATCATAAGTATAGGATTTCCTCACGTTACCCACTATTCACTACCGTTTCAGAACAAAATTTCGTGGGAGTGGTTGTGTTGGGAGGTTAGGGGGGGTTGAATCCTTCCTCCA